CACCACAATCCTCTCTCTGCACATCTTGGATTTTGTCTATCCTGTCCTATCTTTCTGAAATCTGACTGTACCATCATCTATTTAGCAATTGAAGTGAAAAATTGTTATCAAAGCGTGTAGATCTCCAAAATTTTCCGAATACATCGGGTCACATTTTTCACTTGCCTTTTTATGAAAACAGGCCAGGTAACCAGATTGTGCATACATAAACGAAACTGTAGGAGGGGCTCAAAAGGAATTTACCATAAATCAGAATAGAATTCCTCTCTCGGATTCCAATCCTGAACCATATTTTCTGGCTATCTTGGGCCCGAGTTAAACGAAACTGTTGTTCACGTCCAACGGACAACGGATCTCATGAGAGAGGTTTCAGTCAGTCTTGAAAAGTGCTTTCCTCCATGGCGGAGCAAGGCACGTTCTGTATCGGACTACTTCAGTCTTCAAGTGATTGAACACAGTTCCTAAAGCATGCTCCCTTTCACCGAGCAGTACGATAGTGATGGAATATTCGGAATCTAATTCATAATCCCATAAAGAAGAACGATGCTGGGCGGTGCAAGCATATCATTTCACTTCCACAGTAAATCACGTACTGCATGCTGTATTTTATACAGAACGATCAAACAAAAAAGTTGTGTTTATGCCTTTTGATGTCAAAGGGTGAATGCGGGAGAGTTTCCAATACCACTAGCAGCATACCAGGCAGACACTATGGATCAGTTATTTTGTATGCACACATAAATGATCTTTATATTGGGATCTAGCGGTTCCATGAAATGCTCATGTTTCATTCAGGCCCAAACATGATGACAAGTTATCGTGAGGTATTTCGTAAATCATGAGTTCGGATTTTTCATTTCGTTTGATTCTTCGGAAATGCGCTGTGTTTCATTGGATCGCACCACTTCGAAATGTGTTTCGNAAAACTAGGCTATACATATCTGTCACGCGTTAGGTTGTTATTCCTCACAACATAACTTAGGATTCGAACCTCAGACCCCTCGTCGATTGGTCTCGTCTGTACGGCTGTTCTGGTGTCCAAACCACACTACCACTTACCTTCCTGATAACTGCTTCTGCATTCATTGTCTAGTGAATAGCTTGAGCTAAATGATTAGGAACAGTATATTGATAAATTTTATTACGTTACACTCTCTTCCTCACAGACATGAACGAGCACAGTTCACGAAGTCACTCGGTGTTTCGTATTTGTATACAACAAAATAATCGTGAAACAGGCAAACAGTTGATGGGGTCGCTGTATCTAGTTGATTTGGCTGGCAGTGAGAAAGTTTCCAAATCCGGCGCCGAGGGTTCCACCTTGGATGAAGCAAAAAATATAAACAAATCATTGTCCACTCTCGGGAACGTAATCAACGCACTGGTGGAGGGCAATGTGAGTTGACCGAGAAACAGAATACGAACGACCAATTTAATGCTCTCTTAAAATTTACCTTCATCCTAGTGATACATACATAAACACAAAATGTATACACCTCTCGTTTCAGGCATTGTGCTGTGAATGCTGTTGGGTTTTGTTCTCCATAATTGCTATGATCAGCAAGAAAAATATTCTCACTAGCGCACACTAAAAAGACGCGACGATCATGAGAAATGATGCAACGAGGATGAGGTCTTGTGTGACAACGTCGCGTAAGAAGGAGAGAAGCTATATGTGATAGGTTGGTACCTTTGTCATTGTTATTCGAATGAACCTCGGCCTCGATGGAATTTACTCACTGAGCTGGCGAGGGCCTAGACTGAAACTACCCGTGGAATGATTCATTCCAACATCCATACCTGAGCATGGTGACAAAATTATCGAAATATCAAGAATTTTAGATCAAAAAATACACCAAAAGGGGTGAGATAAAGAATTATGTGCACAGCCGAAGCGACCGCGATCAGGCTCAACCAACCAATACTGTGTTCACAAAAACAACTTGTCAAGACCCTACTGCTGCCCTGGTCTAAGGCCAATAAGATCGTGTAACAGACATACCAGTTTGACTCATCCTTGACTGGTCCATTTGGACACAGTCCCCATCATCGACCATCACAATAACTGTATTGTTACAGTACGGACTATCACGCTATGTTGTGTCTACATATTCCGAATTGATTCGTTTCTTTACCCGACCGACCGAGGTCAATAACCACCTGCTCCGTTCAGTCTCGCCCAGTGCTTACTCCGTCAACGGTTAAGGACATAACATTCCCCAATGCTGGGAGGGGGGCGAACAGTCGAACCCCAACCCACCGAAACTTTCATCCTGGCAACCTAATCTAAAAGTACTTTCATTTGTCTATGGAAAAATCAGTTCGTTCCGGTTGGACGAGGTTTTGATAGGCCCGGGATCCAATTGGTAACATGTAACAGTTGAAACACCAATCACTTAGAGGGGTTCCCAGTATAATGCGACTGGTTGAATCCAGTTGAAGTTACCATGGTTTCATACGAAGTTAAAAGCGTATAGATGGCTTGTCTCAAGATTTCGATTCCTTTTAAAATTCATGAAGATTTTCAAAAAAACAGCTGCAGTCCAGTGTTACAAAATTTATTTCCCGAAAAATGTCACTGTATCTCTTCAGGTACATACCACAGTCAAAAAATATAATGGAAACTAACGAGTAACAGTTACCCACCTTTCTCCCGAGGCAGGGGTAGTTAGAAATAACTGTGCTTGCACAGTTCAGATTTCCATCGTTTTATAGCAGTCACCTCTGTAAACTGGAACAGCTGAGATAGCTAATGTGTTCAGTTACCAGGTTCAGCCCAGGTAGGTGGCCGAGCACCGGCAGACGAATTGGTAAAATTGATGGAATTGGACACATTGTGAAAGCGATTGTTTGACTGGAGGAGCAGGTGTTCTGTCACATATGTAGACGAAAAGTGGTTCGACTGTGTTGAACGTTCGTTTGATGAACGAGCTTCGACGGTGCTCTAACAAACTACTCACATCATCACCCTTGAAAGATGGTTGTAGTACAACCTTACGCTTGGGTATGGACATCGATCGCTCTTACTAAGGACTTGCAATGCTATACTTTTTTCACGAATAAGCTCGAGTAACCAGTGTCCTGCAGAGTGTTATTAATTTTTAGGATTTCATCTGCGATGTTATCAGGCGTACCAATTTTTCTCGCACGGTCATAAAGTGTCCTCACTGGCCATCGTTTGTAACGGATGAGGACGAGGTGGGTGAAATGCAGATATAGATCCGTTCACGTGTGTTTTCGCTAAACAGATCAACCAAGGCTTCCATCGGTCCTCTGTTGCCTTTTTACATCAGAGCAGGACAATATATCATTTTCTTCATGTTTCATTGCTAACATTATATTCGGATGGGCGTTATTCAGGCTTTGGGACTAAGTCTAACTCCTCCGCTTTTGAGTTTGCTATGAACAACACTCCGCTCACGTATCCTCTGTACATTTTATCGGTGTGATCTTCGGCTCCAGGTTTGGCATAATTGTTACTTCTTAGTTTTCCATATACTGTTTGACCATACAATGTATCTGAAGAGATACAGGGAAATGTTTCCGGAAATAAATTGTGCAACACCGTGCTGCTGTATACTTTACTCAAGTTCATATCTGGAAAAGGTTGTTTCAATTTCTTTAAAAAAACATAAAGAGATTATTTTAATTAGCCTCAGTACGAAAACTGTTTGCTAAGATCCTATCCAGTTGAATTTCGCCACACACTTAAATGTTGTATCACCATCATCCCATCTATTTTCCTCGATTTGTGAGCGGCTGATGACCCATTCAATTGGTTGAAACGATGTTGTATGTTTAAACGAGTTTCTGAAACCGATCTTTCAATAGTTCTACATACACAGGAGAATCGAATAAGTTATAAGAAGATTGCCTAAAGATTATCATATTGTGGCTGTTATTCACGGTGTGATGAATGAGGCAAACCAGAGGATAGGTTTCCCAGGAGTGCTTTACGATTGGATTGGAAGGAATACCAGGTGACCATATTATGACCTGGTGTGAGTCACTCTGACGAACGTCAAACGGTTGAAGTGCTTGTCATTAGTATGCTTTAGGTACCCAAATTTGTTGGCGGTCGCTTCAATATGGATTCGTTAATTCTACCGTTCATCACACAGTGGTACGAGATGACGAAAAATACATGCAATTAAGAATCTCCATNGGAGCCGCTTCGTTCACTGTAGCATTCATCGTGTTATCCTACAACAGTCGTTTCACTTACTATGAAACTCATCTCGTGATAAATACTGTTCCGTTAGGTTTTCATTCAAATCTGTTTATTTATTTAAAGCACATTCTTCTCATGTGTATTTGCTCAAATGAGCTGGTTTCACAATACGGTCAATCTGTTCATGCGGAAGAAGACATTCAGATTCGAATAACTAAAATTTCTATTTTCATTTCACTGGTGTGTTTCATGTTTGAAATCATTTTCCCGTTCAGACGCACATTCCCTACCGTGACTCGAAGTTGACCCGGATTCTTCAACAGTCATTAGGTGGAAACTCAAAAACGACCATCATCATTGCCGCTTCCCCGTCTACGCTAAACGAGGTAGGCTATGAATCATCTTCCTTTGTGGTTGATATCATATGGGATCAATCGTCACAAAAAAAAATGATGATGATTCACAACATTTGCAAATTTGATGAATCTGTACACCGTGGAAATACGTTCGAAAGTGCTAGTTTCTTAATCCCATATGAACTCAATTAGAACTAGCTATTCCACTGCAGTTCTTTTTTAGATCTAAGACGAATCAAAAGAATTGCATTCACGCTATTGAATAAGTGAGAAACAGGGAATGCCAGTCTGAGTGTTTTGTGTTGGCAGAAAAATCAGGTTCGTTTCGAACACGTGAAAATGCTTTCTACTTTTTCTGTATATGACCATCTTATTATAATTCAATAAAAGTTAGATCAAGCGTTGCCTCAGTCTTAGGTACCTACAATGCGATTGTTCCATCGTTTACCATTGTCTCGTCCCTCTCACCCGTGACCTTAAGCCATTAGATTCCCTCTGACCCTTTCTGTGATCTGATTGGAACATACTCCGCGATCTGTGGCATTTAAAATCCGTTACCCGAACAGAAGACTGTCTGATTACCGGCTTGTACGTTTTGTAATGTTCTTGTTGCTACGTCCAGTC